AAGCCCAAATAAGATTGTAAAATCACTTATCAAGACGTGTGTAATCTTTCATAGTATGAGAAAGGCGGGTGGACTAACATTTGGGGCCCAAATAAGGGTGTAAAATACACTTTTCATGGGGTGTTAGCTATATATGATCTTCGCTCTTCATGTTGTGTACTTGATTATAAACCGAATCACTCTTACATGAAAAACTTTGAGAAAAAGTAATGATTTGGAATGTGTTTTGTTAGATTTTAGATGTTTTGTAATTGGCAATTTTTAAACGAAAGGACTGAATTGTACTATGTTTAAAAAGTCAATGAGTAAAGTGCAAATGGTCGAAAATAGGATTATTATGTCTAGGGTTCGAGAATGGCAAAAAGAGGAAAACGGAGCGGATTTTCGCTAGACTGTCGTCAGTGTTTGGTTCGAGTTACAAAAGCAGAAACATTGTCGATGGACTGTTGCCCCTTCCTCGTCGAGCGTATCCTATCACTCGACCTTTGCTGAGCCCTTGCTCGAGCGAAGTGTTTATGTGAAAAAATTTTATTTCTCGATTTAAAAGCTTTTTAGCCGACCTCTTCGTTCTCTAACCTACGTATATATACCAAAACACATTTGTACGAAAATTAGGAAGGTTCACCATTGAGAGAGCTTCATCGTTTTGATTGCTTTGGTGAGAGAAACATCGTTTCTATAATCCAAATACCAAAACCTATCTATTTTGATTGCTTTGATGAGAAAGACATCATTTCTATTATCCAAATACTACACTATCTTTCCTCAATATCTGGTTGGAGTTCTGAAGATCTAGGAAGTTTGACTGGAGTTCCAGTCTATGAAAAACGCGGTGTTCTTCCTTGATTCATGGGAAATAGACGATTCCACAAGACTAGGAATGCTACAGGGTAGCAGATCCCATTGAGAGCTTTGGCAACAGTAGCTAGGAGAGATATAAGGAGTACAATCGAGATATCAGCCCAATTGGTACCAGGATTCAACTTAAATTTCTCATATGATTGAGGTTTTTGGTTTGAATCCGCTTTGGGAGAGCCTAGAGCCATTTTATCCCTCACGGCTTTGCGACGCGTTCCAGGATTCGAATCCAAGACCTCTATCATATGGGAGACTTAAGTTTGATCATGGTACCAATTGAGAAACTTGCCCAATTGGTACCAGGATTCAACTTAAGTCTCCCATATGATGGAGGACTTGGGTTCAAATCCTAGGGGACGCATCAAAAAGCCGTGAGTGGTAAGATGGGTCTAGACTCTTCCAAAGTGCATAGTACGTAAGATATGATAATAGCTCCGGTGCGAGGTCGGATCGTTACATAGATGAATGCAACTGGAAAAGTAAAGCATTACATGCTATGTTCATGGCTGTATCTGCTGAAGAGTTTAGGCGAGTGCCGATGTGTGAAACTGCTAAAGAAGTTTGGAATATACTAGAAGCCACAAACGAGGGTACCAAAACTGTTAAAAACTCTAAATTGCAGATGTTGACTACTAAGTTTGAAGATATTAGAATGAAGGACAATGAATCGTTCGATAAATTCTATGCGAAGCTAAATGATGTAGTTAACTCTAGCTTTAACTTAGGTAAAAGAGTTCTCAAGACCAAAATCATTAGAAAAGTCCTTAGATTCCTGCCCGAGAGGTTTAGACCTAAGGTTACTGCGACAGAAGAGTGCAGGGACTTAGATGCCGTTAAGATTGAAAAAGTCGTAGGATCACTTCAAACTTATTGAACATTTTGCACAATGTGAAGTTTGAATAACTATCCATACCATGTCTAATATTATATATGTCCAATTGAGTACAAGACATGCCAAATATTTTATGTTGTCGTCATGTCTAATATAGTATAGGTCGGAAAACTGAGTACAAAACGTTCCCAATATCGAGCGATACATGATCCATGAATTCTCAACAATTGGTATTAGAGATTCTGGGCATAATTAACAGAACATTGAAAAAAGCGTACGACAATTGATGCGTGTATGCCATTTTGTAAAGTAGAATTATGACTATTGACTGCCAAGAGTTGGCTAATATACAGCCCCCTGTTGGCCCCCATTTTCTTCATTAAATTATAATTCATTTTTCTCACTCTTCTTATCGTTCATACATTCTCCAATAAAATAATACTACACGTAAATTCAAAAACTTTTCCTTCCTTGTAACCGCACATTAACCAAAAAATTACTATTCGCCACATTATAATGTGGAATCATGGGGGTCAAACGGACGCACAATGGCAGCCATTAATTACTTATCAGGTTTTAAAGAATGATACAATAACTTGACAAAGAAAGTACTAAATTTTCCAATTTTAAGAAAGAATTTTAACTCAAATCAATTCTAGCACCCAATCCCTTTTCAAAGTCTCACAATTTTCACCACCAAAGCCTTAACATATTACAAAAAGGGTTAACCGATTGTGGGTCAATCAACGTTAACGGAGTTGCATTAGGATCACTCATTTTAATTGGTGTAATTTGATCAACCTATCGTTTATTTTCGATATGTTTGGCAACAATGCGAATCCCTCAATGCTTCGCATCATTCCTTGGGGTCCATAGGTACCAATATATCAGTAGAGGAATAATAATATGAATGTGTCCACAACGAACATAATGTCCAGAATATCTCCATCTCTGGAATCTCCGTCTGACTCTCTCTCCAAAACTCATAGGTATCTTAAAAATATCCTAAAACTGCTGTCATAGCTGATTGGAGATGCTATTGCCAATGAGAATATGATTTATAGTCTCAGTCTCGGAACAACACTGAGAGCGAGAAGCAACCTGGCATCCAATCCTTCCCCGAATAATCACATCTACTGGAATGAGGTCCTGCCATAGTCTCCAACAGAAGAATGAGACATTGACGGGCAAAATGGAGCTCCATAGTAATCGGTATGAATCCCGATGCTGGCGTCCCGAACGTATGAGTTGCCATGCAGACTTAGTAACTAAGATACCATCTGATGTATTTCGCCAAACAATTCGATCTGGGGCATCTGGACATAAATGTGTAGCCCCTATNTGGCGTCCCGAACGGATGAGTTGCCATGCAGACTTAGTAACTAAGATACCATCTGATGTATTTCGCCAAACAATTCGATCTGGGGCATCTCGACATAAATGTGTAGCCCCTATTTGCTCCGCCATAAAAGAAGGGAGGACCAATAATAAATGTCAAATATTCCATCCAGTATCATCAAACAAATCCTGCAACCTCGCAGATGTATGCTGCTGGTGTGGGAATAGGGATGTCAACGTGGTCTCAGCCATCCAAAAATCATGCCAAAAGAAAATATTACCTACACCAAGTTGCCATGCAATGTATGGCTCTGTCCAGGGCCCAACTGATTTCAACCTCTTCCAGATAGGGAAAGCTGAGTAAGGAACTGCTACAAATAAAGGGTATGTCCCCGTACAATACTTGCCTCGTAAGAACTGGGCCCAAAGAG